TTATATCATATTCTTTTGGTCGGAGTGCCGATGAAGCAAACGTATGTTTGCTATAGCAATCGACAACGTTACTTATATTCGTATGCAAGTAGGTTTCGAAACTACCAATAAATCAGTGTAATGAGATGTAGAAGTGAGACCAACTTAAGGTAGCATTGCCCATTCCCCAAATGGGACAACCTAATCTGTCCATACGACAGATCAGAATATTGCTTAAGAATCGAAGTACATTTTTGACGACTTATTGACGAGTGGCTTGTGGTTGAGCCTCTGGCAATGAATTAGAGAGGGCTTTTTCTTCGTCTACTTGTAATTTCTGGACATTCCTTTTTAATATCATTCAAGACGTCTGAGCCAATAATGGGCAATTGGCTTCAGGTTGTCAAATGTTGTACAATTGGAAGCATCACCGAAATAACCTATCGTGATTATTTCTACAAAAATGGACTAATTTGCTGAATGGAATGTACTATTATTATATTCAAACAAAGGCGGTATACGAGACTATCAGCAATTCTTGAGTAAGAGTTCTAGTCAAGTTAAATCGCATAAGGTGATAAAAAACGTATAGTTGAATTTTCAAAAAGATGATATGAGTCGACCTTATGTTTTAATTGAAGTTCATATAGTCCTGATTCATAAAAGCTATTCGCATCGAGAGTGAAATGCAGTTTTTACATTGTCTTTATCTCAACAGCAACCCAAACCGGAATTTAAGCTGTGTAGACACACATATAGTGTTATTAATCTACCGGGGGTGAGAGTTACCTCGGACGAATGAAAAGAGTATCACAATAATTTCCTGCTATTGTGATAATAACATTAATGTTTTAGCAAAAATTTTAATAAAGCTGCTTCCGACAAAACAGCGAATTTATCAATTCAGGTGAAAGTAAGACCTAACCACTTTGAGTGCAATAAATAACGACCATAAGTTTCATTAATTTGACTTGATACATTCCCAGACATTCATCCGGTAGTGTAGACGACATCGTCATAGAGTTCTCTTCAAAGAGAAAAGTAAAGTCAATCCCTTGACTAACTGAGAATTATGCTGAAAATAGCTAAACCTAACGACGATGCTGGTGAAAAGTCCAGGAGTGTATCGAGTCTATGGATCAGACCACTTCTATAAATCGAAACGAAACTGTAACCAAAATATAGGCCACAACAGCTTACTTTTCATATCACCAGATTAGGCTAAAGGGACTATTTCAAGTCGAAATCCATTCCAGTAATTTAACAGAAAAATGTTATTAAATAATTCGACACTATGATGCATACTACTATAAGTAGGATGATGCAAAATCCATACCTGGATACCAGCGAGTCTCAAGGCCATTATAGTTTCCGGTACGCCATCCTGCAATTTGTCCTCAACCCCGGTACAGCCAACCACGGAAAGCCGAGCCTCTACGGCAGCGTAGGCTGCCGTCAGTGCCGATTCACGGCCTTCCAGGCGACCACGAGCCTCTTCAAGATTGCCTCGCAATCGCACCCATTCTTCGGGAGTGAGGAGGCGAGCTGCCATCACGAGAGTACGGAGACCGGTACTGGCGAACTCTGTCACCCATTCTAGAACCTGGTTGGCGTCAAGGAAGACTTTGTTGCCTCTTAACGAGTAGGCCTGAGTGGTTCCTGAAGTTTGCTCATTTGTGACCCTCTCCTCTGGTTCGGGGTACTCACAAGGCGGACGATAGAATAAACTGTCGATCAGGGCGTTACCGCATTTGGTAGCGAGACGAGTCGGTTGACGTGTGGAGGATTCAATCTAGGCGGGCAACAAAGATGCAAGTTCACTTTAGCCACGAAGATCCGAAGAGACTGAAAAAGTGATCATTTCAATGCTTCCGGCGACTGGTGATGCGTAACTTTCATGGGCCAAAACGGAAATGTGGCCCCGAAGTGTACACACCTACAGACAAGATAACCTCAACTTTCCTTATTTGCCATGGTTACTTAATTGCCTCTTGAAGTCATAATTGCGTGGATAAGTTGGCTTGGAGTGAGTCTGTGTACTTGGCCTGTTTAAGACCTGTATTTAGTGCAACATCTGCTATAGAAGAGGCTTCCAGCAACTGTGAATCTCCCATTTATATCCTCAGGTATCTTAACAAGCCAACCGAATGCTTTAGGCGATGTATGGACCTCATTGTTGTATCTTCTTTATTGAAATGAGCGGAAGGCCTTACGATTTCATAAAGATTCGCTTAGACTTGTATCTGATTTGTTTTGACGGAAGTCTTGACCTCGCTTGGATTACAGGACAGATGCGAATTTCTAAATAAACCAGGCACCTACAAATTCACATGAACAATAGGGAAAATTATAGTTTCCATAAAGCGCTAGGATAGTACTTTATGGATATCGAGTAGTTTGAGATTATACCAGTAGACAATTAAAAAACAACATAAGTATCGTCCATTTTTGGAGTGCTGATAAAAATCATGCGTGGTAGAACCTGCGATCAGGACTAAATGATCCCGCAGTCTGGAAAGCTAGTCCAAGTGATTTTGTATGGCTTAATGAGATTATCAATTAATTCATGATGGGAAGTTCAGCTATCGGTATTTACACCATCTTATCCGGCCTGGTGTGATTCGATTCTTCCTACAAGGTCATCTGATTGTTTATATAAAGCATAATTATGTTTGCTCTGTTCGTGAATCTCTTGTTTCATTTCCAGACCTTGAGAATTTTATCAATAACATCGGTTGATGTGTTTTGTGAGTTATACCCTCGCACATTCATGGATGAAATAATTTTCCTAAGGCACTTGGATACGTAGTGAGTAAGTTTAGGGACTGCCGATAGATCGTGAATCTGGTCAACTTACATCACTGGAGATTGTGTAGAAAACAATTTACCTGACTGTACCGTTTAAAGCCGAACTTCACATTGGTAAGCTCAGGTAGTTTGTCCTTTCTCGAACCGACTCTGGCCCAGCACTGTGATTGCATGTCCATGTTGCCATCAGGCACCTCAATTGCGCAATATATCAGAGCTCTCTCGATCGGGGTCACAGCAACTTCGGTTATGCCTCCAAGGGCCAAGAGGGGCGGGTTTGAACAATGTCGGAAACTGCGACGGAAATGCCATTGCAAGGCGGCTGATCTGTTTTCAATCCCGGCAATTACAAAGTTCTCCATTAACACAGAACCAACCAACTACTTTTCGTCGAGGTGACAAATTGAATCACCAACAATCAGGATACGCTACCATTCTTCTTCCCTGCCTTCATTCTATTCGCAATTGCACTTGAAAGTTAGATGGACTTTGGTCTCCAGTGTTCAGTGCTATTTTCATATAGTTGTGAAGTGATTTTCATTTTGACTAGCCTTTATTCGTTGTTAGTCCTGTACATATACTCTTGACTTGAACCTTAACTTTTTGGGAATTTCGGGCCAACGATCGTCCGCCATAATTAAGGAGATATATCATAGAAATCTATACATGCGCTAATACAAGGACATGTCAAGGATATAAATTCAGACGTGCACATGAACATATGTACGTCTTTCCTATTTTGCCTGCCATGATAGTGCTTAATCTCTTGTCTTTATCCTGTAGCCGCGGAGGACACTGAACTAACATCTTCATTGTCAATGCTTGACACAAGATTGCGAGATTTTTTGCTGCTCTACTCTGAAAGCTATGCCTACTTTTGAGTTCCAAGCAAATCGTAAAACTGTCGTTATCACAACAAAATTTCAGGCCGGACGGTCACTCTTAAGGGCCAGCATCGTTTGCATTAATGCTGCCAGAAACAACTAAGGGTCTAATTAAAGAGCAAAGTTTGCAGTCATAAGGAAACAGGAAGGAAAATAAATGTTCTTTGAGGACAGTGATTAAAAGAGCTTGCCTTGATGGTCGGAAATATAGCATACAACAACGATATATGGTGTTTTGTCTTATACTTCTATTTTCACTTGAGCTTTCTGTTAGTTGAGCGAGTTCACTGCAGAGAGACAGGCTTAAATGTGCAAAAAAGAATCGGCTCCATCCAGAGCAACGAAGAAGGCAGTAACAGATAGCCAATTCTGTTAGGCGAGATGAATATGAAACTAAGCCGCAAAGTGGAGAGAGGATAGGCTTTTAATTGTCGGATTACCCGAGAAAGTATGCTTGTCTCGGCGCCTTTGCAGAGAACGAGGACGGGCTGCGTAGGATCGAGTGCAGGGCTGGAGTCTTCGGGATCCGATACTGCCTGTAGAACTACCGACATGCACTTCCGTTCGGAGTCGAACTCAAGCACATCCAACTGCCTGTAACGGAGCGGCTCGCCTTCCAGCGTGATAACCTGAAGCAAATAAGCATGCAATTGCACTATCAGTCGAGTCAGGTGGGAAGATGCATTGGCTCTAGGACTTAGTTATTTGCACTAAAGCTTAATTTAATCTACACTAGTGTTATACCATTGTATGGCAAACTTTACAAATAATTTTTCATTTATATAGAAACACAAAATAAAGAATAATGATAGGTTTAAATTGCTAAATGAAATTATCAAGCTAAGAGAGAAAAATAATGAAAAATCTACCACGAGGCAACCAAATAACAATTTAAATATTAATTGTCGTGGATTGACCTCGTTGTCGCAACTTGGTCTTGTTCTCAGGGAGACTATGTAGAACGCACCTAGTCTGAAGTCGTCTGCCATAGTAGTTGTCATGATTCACAGCATCTGACAGTGGACTTGATACATTCTCAGACGTTTCGCCGGCATCGTAGTCGGCATCATCAGTGAGCTTTGCCATTCTCCGCACCAAGATACGAACTCGTCAAAGGGACAAGTGAAGTCAATACCTCGACAACCGTTCTGCTGGAAACGGTTACATTATCACTGCTCTTTCCCTCATTGTCTATCTATCTACTCTTTACTCTCTTATCCCTATCACAATTTCTCACTTGTTTACATTCAAAAATAATGAAAAATATACCACGAGGCAACCAAATAACAATTTAAACATTAATTGTCGTGTTTCAAAAACGTACTATAGACAATTCGGCACACTAACGCTAATTGCAGACATTTTATTTTATATTGTGGCATGACTCTCCATTTCGGAGAGAAAGTTTGTTGGAAGGAATTGGTGAAGTGGTCTCACTGGGAATCGGAGGAGAAATGTCGCGTAGGGAAGCATGCTGTATTGTGCAAAGAAGTCCTCGGCTCGCTGTCCTGTGACCCCGATTAAACTGTGTTATACTTTCGTCTGTCCTCTCCGTGACAGACATCATCAGAGCAAGATTTCATATCTTACGAAATAGAGCAAAAATATACCAAACCAAGAGAAAAGGTGGCCGGCTGCAACAATAGTCGCTTTTTTATACAATCAACATCACGATCTTAACGAGGCCTGTCCTTATTTGGTTGACTACTTCGACCTTCCTCTACATGCTTGCAAATGAGTGAAGTTAAGTTCAAGAACCGGAAATACGTTCGGTGGCCGTTGTTTCATCACACGAACATTAGCGTATGCTCGTCTAATGTTGAAGCATATTTGGGCATGTGCTATAGTCTATTGTGTCTATGTAATGCTCATGTCATGGGAAGTGTGATAGTCCTAAATAGACTCGAGGATAATCCAGCTCTTCCTGCACCCTCTCTCTCTCCCTTTCCTTAAGTCTATCCAACAGCCACAAAAAGTTCATACTCAATTTTTCACACTCGCTTCTCCTGTTCAGGACGTTGGTTGATTTCTTAATTTCTATCACCTCCCTAATCTTACGCTTTGACGTGAAGTCTCCGTAACCCGCAAAACTTTGCGTTTTGGACCAGTCAATTGAGTGTCCTGTATTCGCAAAATGTGTTCGGCGAGCTCAGATTTTTCCATCCACAGACCTCGACAAGCGGTTTTGTATTCGCATTGTCTCTTGTGAATGGGTCGGCAGGTCTGACTCACATACACCTTACCAATTGAACACAAAACCTGTAACAGAATGATCTAGAAAGAGGGTCTGAATATTCTCTAAGCGAAGGAACTACTGAAGAAAGTTCGGGAGTAAGGTCGAAGTGGTCAACTAAATCAGAAGCCTCATTAAGATCGCGATGTTGAGTGTATAAAGAGGCGACTAGAGTTGCAGCCGACCACCTTCTTCTCCTGGTTTGGTATATTTTTATTCTATTTCGTAAAATATGAAATCTTGCTCTGATGATGTCTGTCACGGAGAAGACAGACAAAAGTATGGAACAGTTTAATCGGGGTCACAGGACGGTGAGCTGAGGACTTCTCCGCACAATTCAACAGTCTTCCATATGCGACAATCCTCCTTCGGTTTTCGGTGAGACCACATCACGATTTCCTTCCAACCAACCTTCCCCTCAAAATGGAGAGTCGTACCGTAATATTTCATTAAGAAAGTCTTAGAAACCCAATTTTTCTTCATAATTTTATATTAGCTCATTATGTGTAATTGCAGTCTAAAAGGCCGAAATTAATGCAAGGATTGTCGTTGACATTTTCAATTTATATGATAATGCCTGGTTAAGCGATTTGTGAATCAAACTCGCTAGAAGATAAAGGCTGCTTCTCGTTTCACTCCAAATATGACGTTCAGGTTGACGTAGTCCACAAGAAATCCTCTCCAATTTTGGGTAAAAACAGACTTAGCTTTGGTCAGTCATTCTGGAACTCATTCTTGTAAAGACTTCAAATCAACAAGACTATATGTCTTGATATTTGAAATAAGGCTTAATTTAATCTACACAGGTTTTATAAAGATGTGATACAAAAAGCCACAAATAACAATTAGTATTCATTAATAACAGATAATTTTCATGCTGAAAGAAACAAAAATAGTGAATAGTAAGGGATCAAATTTATTAAATAAATTATCAAAGAAGAATAGAAAAATACTGAAAAAATATAATGAATCAATCAAATGAAAAGGTAAAAAACTCTTGAGAGTTTTCGAAGACTCACTAAATAACTATATACCATGAAGCTCCCTACGTTAATCGTAAACACTTAATTTTGTATGAGTCGTCGGGTGATACGTATTAGTAGAATTTTTAAACATAAAAATGAAGATGTGGTGAGTGTTGATTTTAGCCTACTAGGCTTCAGCAAACAGTACCACGACACAGTGGAGAGTCTTCGTTTTTTTAATGGAAGATGCGGCCAAGAGAGGATATATTTACTCGTATCTGATTGTTGTCCATCCTTAAATGACCCTTAG